TCTCACATGCTAACTCCTTCCTGTATTTCTCGGCACTTCGCCTGATGTTTTATAGTTAAACTACTACTTCTTGATTTGCAGATTGATTTTTTTTTTTTTGTAAAGCAAGATAAGTTTTTATTGAAATTTATTTAGAAAGATGTGAGGGGAGAGAGAGGAAGTGTTTGTGTTTGACAGGGAACACAGGCTTCTCCAAGAGTGGAAGTAGGCTAGCAAAGAAACCGACAAGCGAGATACGCATCCAAGGGAGGTCCTGGCTTGAAGAGCAAGTCTTAGATATTAATTTAAGGACTGTTCATTATGGAAGATAAAGACTTAGCTAGCTTGTATGCCCCCTCTCCCTGTATCTCTCTGTGAAACAATGATTTCCCTCTCCCCCTTGGTGGAGCCAGAAGGCAGTGCTCAGCAGGACAGCTGAAGCACAGACACCACTAACCACCGGCTCCAGATCAGCCCGTTCTAGAAGTCTAGAGGTTGCTGGAGCTATGTTCTCACAAGATCGCGTTAAAATGATCCCGTCCACTAAAGAAGCCAGTAATGCTTTAAAATGAGTTTAGAGGGCTGGAGTGATAGCACAGCAGGTAGGACATTTGCCTTGCACACGGCCGACCCGGGTTTGATTCCCAGCATCTCATATGGTCCTCTGAGTACCACCAGGAGTAGTTCCTGAGTGCAGAGACAGGAGTAACCCCTGTGCATTGCCGGGTGTGACCCAAAAAGCAATAAATAAATAAATAAATAAATAAAATGAGTTTAGAGTTCCAGACTAGTAAGTAAACCTCTAGGTTTTAATGAAGCAAACCCTGTAGAACAGGAACTGGGAGATCTGTTCATTAAATGACTGTAAGATGGGCGGACTTTCCCGAGTTCTCTGCAGCCCACGTTCTCGACTGACCCTCTTCCTCCACTTGCCTCTCTCACCTCTGGCCTGCCTCAGAATCCCCAGCTGCAGGGACCTGGGAGGAAGTCAGGGAGCAAACCAGCTCAGTTTACCCAGGGAGTGAAACTGCTCCTATTTCAAGTTTACACAGGCCTCCCCCACCAGATAAGATGCAGCACATGTCTCCTCCGCAAAGGCAGAAGAACACAGAGAACTGACTGGAGGGTCTTTCCATTCTGCCCCACACGTCTCCCCAGCTCTGAAGTTAAAAAAAGGGGGGGGGGGGGGCGGGGGGAAGCTGTCACGGACAGGCACCAGCAAACATGTGCTCTTAGCAATACCCCAAAGTGCCTGTCACGTGTTTTATAGTTTCAGCGTCTTTACATTACCCATCTTACAGGTTTGTGCCAAATGGTTCAGGGACTGGAATTCCCTCACATGGTCCAGTTCAATGCTGAGCGTCCCTGTGCCACTGCAGTATTTGTGCTCGTCTAGATCAATCATCCCTGAGCGACCAACCCCACAGCCCACCCCTCTGAGGACAGGGGACAGGGGATAGGGTGATGCAACAGGAACACCACAGCCTGTAGTGATCGACAGTGCTAGGAGCTTGACTACCACATGCAGACAGAAAACAACCAACACAAGGAAGCTGGAGCGATAGTACAGCAGGCAAGGCATTCGCCTTGCATGAGGCTAACCTAGGTTCGATCCCTGGCACTATCCATGCCCTCTGAGGCCCACCAGGAGTGATTCCTGCATGTAAAGCCAGGAGCAAGCCCTGAGCACCGCTGGGCGTGTTCTCCAAACCAAAACAAACAAAACAAAAAACGGACACAAAACCCTTTACCCGAGACCCTTCTCAAATCTCCCACCTTTAAGTGATCCCTTCCACCCAGGATGACAGTGAAGCAATGAAATATCAAAATCATTGTTATATACCGTATCTGGTATATGTTCAGAAAACAATGAGGAATGACTTACATAAAATGTAATTAAGTGAAAATGCATTTTCTCAGGAAACAAAACAAACCAAAGAGGGTCTTGACAGGGCAGAAGAAATGAACAACAGTTCACCGAGTCATATTTTGAGATTTCTTTTATTTTTGTTCGACCACACCAGTGGTGTTCAGGAGCTACAACTGGCTCTGTGCTCAGGGGCAGTGCTTGGGGGACAATATGTGGTGCCAGGAACTGAATCACTGCCATGCCACAAAGGCATGCAAGGCAAGACAATGAACACAATAGGTGGAGGGAGAAAAATTAGGGTGGGCGTGAGTAAAAGGCCCCGAACCCAGAACTTCAGAGTAGTTGCTATTCAGGGGTGTCCCGTGGTGGCTCAGGCAGGAAAGATGTGGGCACAGCAGATTGGTGGCAGTGAGGTGTAAAGGCAGGGAGGACCACAGAGGTGGTGTTGGCAACAGCAGCAGATGCCCGGGCAGGGCAGGTACAGTGTATGTGCACCCACAGACTGGGCTTCAGTACACTGACCATAGTCAGTGTCCTCTTTTCCTCCTAGCACAAAGGATTGCTTGACACAGAGGGAAACCCCTGGCTCCAGCCACAGGAACCAAAGGAAATACTTCAAAGGTTTTCCCCCACACAAACACTATTCTCTTAGAAAACTAACTCTGATCCCTCAGAAGTTAAAGGGCTTTTCAACACTTACACGCTTTCTAGATTAAATGATTCCAAGTTCTTAACCTTTCTTGCCAGTAGAAGTTGTAGAAGATCACCAGCCTCGGATGCTGCAGAACCTACAGTGGTTACCACAGCAGCTACTCCTTGCCCCGGCGCCAGTCTGTTCACTGTCTCAGGATCTAGCCATAGGGGACCGAACCGCATCAGTCAGACTTGAGACTCCTCATTCTTACCAGAGATGTATGTATTCTTGTCGCCAGTGGCCCAAGGATGCACTTTCCTTGGGGGAAGGGAGGTATTATTACTAATAAGATTTTACTTGCAGATAAATGGAATGAGGACAGCTGATCACGCACAACAGAAGCGACACAGAATGCAACTACGCAGAGCTCTTCTCTGAGTGCCAGGGTGTCTGGAAGCAGCGGGGTTGTTTTTACACTTCCTTCCAGGCACTTGGTGTTACCCTGGAGTAGCTTGCTGATCCCCCGTGGATTAAAGGACAAAACCAGGAGGGATGCTGGCTTCTACCACTCCTTTGCCTCTTTGCCCTCTCCTGAATCAATAAATCACTTCTGGCAGGTAGCTGGGAAGCAGCTGCGAAGGACAGTTTTGCTCTGGAGCACAGGAAGCCACCTTTTAACCCTCCTGCTGTTGTTTGTCTCTCAAAACGTGACAAAGGAACAGATGTAAGTAACATGCCAACTGTTGAGAAGATCTGCTCGGAGCACTATAGGAAGCCTGTTCAGAACCACATCACACCAGCCGCCCCTAGAAGGACAACTGAGTTCATTTCCTAAGCCCCACACACGGTCTGCTCACATCAGGTTGGGATCTGCAATGCTCATGCAACTCACTGAGGAAACCTCTGCTTTTGCCTCAGTCCTGTGATCCGCCAGCCTTGGAGACCCTCTCAAACCCTGCTCACACGTCACTGAGGTGCAGTGTGCATATGCCTCCTCAGTAGCTTCCTCTGACCACCCCACACTTCTCTTTCATCTCTGGGCCAGAGTGCTTTGTAGAGTCCGTGCCAGGCTCTAAGCCTTTCATGGGCCAATCTAATCTCTGTAGAAACCATCCTGTGTGTAGGATGAGTACACCGGGAAATAATTTCTTGTTGCTTTTGGACCAGATACAGCAACGCTCAGGGGTAATACCCAGCAGTGCTTGGGGAACCGTGTGGTGCCAGGGATCAACAAGACCTCCTGTATGAACTGCATGCACTCAGCCCACCAGGAAACAATTTTAAAGGCCCAAACCAATATTTTAAATACAAAATGAAGAACTAGCTATAGTGGACAGAATGAGAGTATAGTGGGTAGGGTGTTTGCTGTGCACACGGCCGACTCAGGTTCAATTCCTAGCGTCTCATATGGTCCCCTGAGCACTGCCATGAGTACTTCCTGAGTGCAGAGCCAGGAGTAAACTCCTGAGAACTACCAGGTGTGACTTAAAAAGGGGAAAAAAAATATGAAAGATACTCCAGATAACTGAGGAACTACTGGAGAACTATTAGATGCTCTCAAGAAATTCGTATTAATTTTACTAGGTCAAGTAATTGTGTTGTGGGTGCATAAGTGAATGACTTATTTTTAGGCGATGCATGCTAAACATTTCAGAGGGGACTTCCAACCACAACAGAAAAAAAAAAAAAGGTGTGTTGCACCCCAAATGTTGCAACTGCCAAATCTAGCTGGATCTTACATAGGTATTCACTGCATTATTCTTTAAAGTATCCCATGTGCTTCAAAAAGCTTCACAGTGAAAGGAAGAAGAAAATGAAGCAAAGAAAAATATCAGAATGCAAGGCAGGAAGCAAGATTTGGTTCAGGTATCAAAGGATGTATGTGCCCAAAGTGGCTCTTAGAGACGCTGCGTTACTGCTCTGCTCCACAAGGCACCCGGCACACAGCAGGCTGGCAATGAACTCTCTGTTAATTAACTTCTAGAAGCACAGTATTTAAATAGAGAAGCAAGGGGGAGAATTCATTTCGTCACTAGCTACATCTCATTAACTCAAGCTGCGTCAAACTAACCAAGCCTTCCCCTTCCACAGGATCCTTGAGTTTGACCCTCAGATACAGATTCTTATTAGATACTGAATCACTAACGGCAGGGAGAAAAGCTATGTTCAAAGGATGACTTCCAGTAGGTTGACCAGCTGTCCTGGTTTGCCTGGAATTGAAGTATTCCCTGGGACCAAAGATTTGCAATGCGAGAACTAGAATTCTAGGCAAATCAGGCAGCGGGTGACTCTAAATCTGAGGATGACATTGAGAGAAAGTTGGAACAGACCAGGAGAGGTAACAAAGTTGTGCCATGTGATGAATGGTACCACTGCAACATGGTCCATAGACAAACCATCCCAAAAGTAACATCGAAGGCCAAGTTGTTGAGTATCTGTCATGCCCTTAAATAGACCCCCCCCTTTTTTTAACTGCTCGTCAATGAATCTGGAAAGGAAAGGACAGAAAGAACTTACTGTGAAAACGTCATCATCACCAAGCTCAGCTTCATTATGGATAGTGGAAGATGATGTTGTCGAGCCTAAAAAGACCAAATAAATAAGTAAATAAATAAATAATTAAAAGAATAAAAATGAAAGAAAAGTGTTTCCAAAGAGGTTAAGCCGAACACATTTAAAAAGTCTATTTTAAGGAAACCACATTCCATTCCATCTGCATGTGAATCATCAGCAAAAATATGTTATCTGGATACAAAATAATTTACTTTTCTTTCATTCTAGACAAGATGCTCCTGAAAGTAGTTTTGCATTACTGCCAAAAAATCCCTCACACTTCTGCACTGGCCACCAAAGAAGCACAAGTGAGGGTAAGAGGAGAGCCTGCCCACTGCTCTGAAGGACCTGAGTTCAGACTAGCTTCCACAGCGATCCTTTAGGATTTCCACTATGCAGGACTTTGGAAAAATACCAGACTGAGAACCTCTCTTTAGTCCTGTCACACTCTTGCTGTGTGACCAGACTTAGCCCTCTGGTCTACTCATCTACCAATAAGAGGACTCAATTAAGTAGCCTGTCTGGCTGTCTCCTGTTCTACAATTCAGACACTGCACTCTAAAATCTAGACCGTGGGAGTCATTTTCTATGCTGATACCTGGCAAGGGGATTTTTCTCTTATAATAATATAGTATCAGTGAGTTTTCCGTTTTTGTGGAAAAAAATTTAGGGCTCAAGCAGTAACCCAATATATTCAACTATGAGATGAATCATCATTTAGGGCCAATTTGCTTATCTGTTTAGACCTTTCTTCATGCTGGTATGAAGTCAGTATTACTGTCCCAGTTCTCCCCAAAAGAAACCAATGATAATTCAATCTACTTGACTGACACTATTTTCTGTTTGCTTCCATCCTAAGCGGGGCTATGGTACCCAGGGATCCTCAGCCAGCCAGACGTTCAATGTGAGGTTCCTGAGGACACAGTGCTGCTCAGGCCCTTGTGGTTGGAGCATGAGGTCTTAACTCCTGCACTATCTCCCCTTAACGAACCCTGTCAATGGCCAAAAGGAAGAACATTTCAAAAGCCATAGATATATCAAAATGGGAATTTATCCTCTAGCTTCTCCTTTTCTTGGGTAGGTCCTTAAAATGGTGTGCTTAGAAACTATTCGGTGATTATACAAAACCAAAATTAAAAGAATTGCTCAGAAAAAGAGGGGAACTATTTAAAGTTTCAATGAGGGGATTACAGGATAAAAAGGCAACAGTCTCACTACGTCCTCTGTGTAATTTCTACTGATCTTTCAGGGTTTTCTCCAGTCTTGGAATGATTTCAGTGTATTATGTTTAAGGCAAGTTTTAATAGAGGACAATGAGAGAGGGCATAAGAGAAACAATTACAAACAGAAGAACCAAATTTCGTACGCAGCTTTAGTGACTAAGAACAAAGACAGACAGTAAGCTTAGATCAGTAACATAGAAACTTCTCTCTAAACATTTAAAAGCTGTTTAATAACATTTAAAATATCTGCCACTTAAAAAAAAATAAGTATCTGTCACATGTCAGACCTGTAACATGAACATGGCTATTAATTATCCGTATGCCATTGTACAGCTGTAATGGATACATTCACATTTTAGTTAGAATTTTCCTATGGCTGATGCCTTATTAAGCGATCTTTATTCTCTCTTTTTCTCTCTCCACCCTCTCTTCTCTCTCTCTCTCTCTCTCTCTCTCTCTCTCTCTCTCTCTCTCTCTCTCTCTCTCTCTCCCTCTCCTTCCCTCTCCCTCTCTCAAATAACGGCTAGTCTGGGGCCAGAGAGAGTGCACAATGGCCTGAGCACATGCTGTGCTTCATGTGACCTGGGTTCAATCCCGCCACTGCATGGTCCCCCAGACACTGCCAGCAGCACAGTGAGAGCAGTTAGATTAGCTGGGCATGTCCTCAAAACCAACCAACCAAATCATAAGATGCAATAAAAAATAAAATACAGGCTACTGCTGGCACAGCTCAGGAGCGAGCTCCACAAGGTGGTGGGGAGTCAAGGCAGGCTCTGCACATGGCGGGCATGTGCTTGACCACACCAGATATCTCTGTGGCCCCAAGAAATTCTTCTGAAGATCTTTATCTCTTCCACCACATCTGTATGAAAGGAAATAACTTCAAAACATTTCCTGAATGAATTAAATGTACATCCTCTTGTGATTAACTTCTCCAAATTCTGAATTTAGTTTTTCCATGCCTTGCCTGATATTTCTTCCTTCACAGGGTCCTGCAATAGAACCCTTAAATCCTTTGCCTTGACAACTGAATATATGAGTGGAGAACTTGTGTTTTTGCCTCTGTAGACTTGGGACAACTGGCCAGTTTTCTAGTCTGTGAGAACTAACAGGCCAAGAGCCTTCCTGTCAACAATCAAACAGAACACAATGTCTACTGCCCACTGTCCAATAATTAAGACCTAACCTGACCCAAACTCCAGGAGTACAGTTTAGGCCTGAGTCTTCTGACAGATCAGACCAAAGAAGTGGCAATACTCAGGACAAGGTGAAATTATTCAAGAGTCCAAACTTGGCTTTTTCAGAGCTGAGTCTAAAAATCAGTAAGATTCTCCTTATTCTGAAACCCATCTATCTCCTTTCTCCATGCACTACCACTTTGTTTTCCTTGGATATCCCCCAAGTTTTCACAACTACCGGGTCTGGCGTTCAAGCCTCCTGCAAATAAACCACAAATACACCATGCAGACTACTAGAATTAAAGTGAACTTGGAACATTTCCACAGCCCCACTAAGAACACAGTGGCAAATTCAATACCTTCTATAAGGTCTTCGATTGCTTTCCTCACGCCCCTGTCAAAGGCTCGAGCATCAGCAGGGCTTTGGAAAGTTAGTCCAAATTTCCTATTGTCGACTTTCCAATGGTGAAATGTTGGGTTGGCTTTGGTGTAGACCAAGTCCTTTCTTACATAGCACTCTAACACCACCTGAAGGATTCAAACACAGAGGCTGGTTACTTGTGGAATATCATGATGGCATTTGGCTATAAAAATCTAACTAGGAAGCATCCACCATTGGTGGCAACCAATGAAAACCCTCTCTCTACCACCCCTTTGTCCATCATGGAATAAACTTTTGCCTGTCCCCGCTGCTCATTCAATTTTTCCTGAGCACCCCCAACTCTCATGTCTTTGGCAATTCTCCACTGACCTCACTGAGCCATATAACTCATTTTTTCTCTTTCTCCTATCCCTGATGGGGGTGGGGACTGGGAGGGCCACAAAGCTGAGGCCCAGGTCTTGGGGCTCTACTAATTGCCAGGTTTATTTGCTTCTGTGCCAGGATCTTAACACAAATGGCTCTCTATCTGCTCTCCTCTGTTCTAATGGATACTGTCCAATGATCTCAAATTTAACAAGTTGAAACACAAACAGCTCTAAAATGTCTGCCACTAATTTCCTTTTCTAACTTCCCTATGCTTAACCATACCAATCCCTCTTTGTTCATTTTCTCTGGCTCAAAATCTCTCTGCCTTCTTTGCTTTCTTTATCCCTTATATTATTAACCACCAAAACCATTTATTTTTTTCTATCAACATCTTTTATATCCAACCCCATTTCAGTTGCTAATGCTCTGATCTGGATCTCCAATTAAGCTTTTTTTCTGTATTATCAGAACAATTTTCCAGTTTCTAGCAATCTAGAGTCAGACTGTTTTAGTTAAGGCTTTAAATGTGAGCTGGTCTTAGACCCTAGACCTTATTATATCCAAAGTAAAATAACAGTATTATCAATGAGAAAATATACATGGTCTAAAGACACTAAATAATGAGCTACAAAGCCACACTTATTCTCCATATTTCTACCATTGACTATTATTCCTTTATTTATTCTAGTTCTTACTACTTTCACAATTAAGTACTTGACGGTTATTACTATAATACTTTATTCTCTAAAAATTTCAATATATTACTCTTATTCTCCCAAATAGATTGGAAAACGGTCAATATGTGTTATCAAATAACTCCCTTTGGATCTAGTGGAGTGCTATTATTGATACAGCTAATGAGAGTTCTTAGAGGATTGAAGCACTGAAATCATGGCTGTAGGCTTCATTTTTTTTTTCTTTTTGGGTTACACCCGGCGATGCACAGGGGTTACTCCTGTCTCTGCACTCAGGAGTTACTCCTGGCGGTGCTCAGGGGACCATATGGGATGCTGGGAATCGAACCCAGGTTGGCCGTGTGCAAGGCAAACGCCCTACCCACTGTGCTATTGCTCCAGTCCCTGCAGACTTCATTCTTTATTCATAGTAAAATGCTCAAAAATAGTGATTATTTGTTCTTACAGTTACATTACATATCCAACATGACTTTGCAGTTTTTTTCCAGTCTGAGAATTAAACCTAGGGCTACACATATGTGAAGAATGTACTCACTGCTGAGCTATACCCACACCCTGATTTGACTAATCTTGCTAATTTTTAATAGCTTTGGTCTTGTTCTGGCCAAGTTCCACATTTACAAAACAAGATCTTATTACAACTTTTAGACTAAATTAAGGAAAAGAGTAAAGAAGTGCCTAAATAAGTATAAACTCAAATTCGAGCATATCTTCAAGAGTACAAATTTCAAGAAAACTTCTAAGTAAGCAAATCAAGTGCTACCTAATAAATGTTCCCTAACATAACAGAGAGTAATACTCAAGTTGGCATATCAAACATAAATCCCAAACAGTTAGCTTCCTCGCACTGTATTGAAAGAAGACAACAGTCCCCTCACACAGTTCTATTTATGATTAAATTGCTTAATATGGCTATTTCCCCTAAGAATAGTGCAATGATTAAATGTCAGCCCAGCCCCATTCCAAATTGGGGAAATCCAAATAACGAAGGCTTTAACTAACAAATGTTATCTATTTTAGAACTTAATAGTCTCAATTCAAAGTCTCAAAATAAGCTTTTTGTAAAAACAAAGACTCCTCGTTTCTTCATTATTTTCAGGGTGAAAAAAAATTAGTCTTCACTTAACATTTCTGAGTTTAAGATAATTCCAAAGGTACATTTTGTTATAGAACTTTGATAGGTTTTGAGAAAAGTAAAATCAGTCCAGTCACCTAAATTAAGTGAGGCGGTGGGAGGGGATTAGATACCACCTCTTTATGTCCTCTTAGACAAACTATCATTACATATCTAAATTTAATGACAAAAAAAGTTATGGGTTTTATTCTTTAAAACATGTGTAAACTCTTTAATGAGACTCTGACGTATGTCCAATCAAGTAGTAATTTAAAATTAAGAAAGGCTTTAGAAGTGTCATATATTTGTGTTGGAGGCTTATAAAAAATCCACATAAAAATATAATACAGGGGCTGGAGCAACTGCACAACGAGTGGGGCATTTGCCTTGCATGCGGCTGACCCAGGTTCAATTCCCAGCATCCCATATGGGCCTCTGAGCACCCCCAGGAGTAATTCCTGAGTGCAGAGCCAAGAGTAACCCCTGTGCATCGCCAGGTAACCCAAAAAAGCAAGAACAAAACAAAACAAAACAAAAAACCCACGAATAACTGTATCTCATGGTGTCTCACTAATAAAAATTTTTAAAAAAAGCCACAAACAAAATGAATAAGCACTCCATTCTTATTCATCTCATCCAAACTACCTCAAATGCCTCTCCACTTGTCAAGAGTATGGCAGAGATAAAGATAACAGTTCCTTTCTGTGGCTTTTTAACACACCCATGAAGGTGACTGTACTTCACTGTAGCCATTCAATAACGTGTTCTACAACTTCTTCCTTAATCCTTAAAAACATGTCTTAAGAGATACAGAATGCTAAAAAAGAATGTTTAATGGCTACACAACATTCCTAGACATGGATATAATAGATGTATTCAGTTATTCTCCAGACTTCTAATAGTTACTTTTATATACATTCTTAAAATTTCGTCTGTGAGTCCAGCCTGGCAAAACTATTTCCAGATGAAATGCAAATATATGTAATTCTCATAGGATTCTCATACCCGCTTCTGTATTACAGTTTGCTGTAGTATGTTGCTCTGGTTGAAGTAAATGAAGAAATCCTGGCATTGCACACGTGCATAGTTGGAGAGAGGGATGTGTATTTTTAAAAGACCTTAAACATCTGCTGTATGTGGAAAAATGAGGATTGTTGCAAGAGAATTTGTTTCAGTGTAGTTGTTTTAGTGATGAGCTGAACTAATGGCTTTTTTTCATGGATCACTAGTTATTTGGAAAAACTGACAGATGAACTACAATAATTCAGATTTGAGGATTGGTTATTTTCTTGAAAATGAACAAAGTTCAGTCACTTCAAGGAAAGCAACTAGAGGAATTTGCTGCATTAATAACATTTGAACTTTCAAATATTAATAATTACAATAGTATACAATTTCCCAAACTTAAAGGCTTTTCTAATGAGATTAATAGTGACTTAAGAACATGATTTTGGTTATGTGGAATTAAATGGATCAACATTTGTAAGATCTGTGTAACTCAAGCCATTATATTATTTTCCAAATGAGCAAAGTGAACTGTTGCAAAACCAGGGTGAATAAATGATCCCTTCAAAATGAAAGATAAACTATGGTTTCAATATAAAGACAATGAAAAGTTCATTGATATGGCCTCAGATCCCACATATAAGAAACCGCCAAAGGCTGAGTCTTGATGTAGCATCAAAGAAGTTTATCTATGATAACCTGAAAAGGTGATTAAAATATACCTCCCTTTCCAAACTTATATGAATCTTTATGAAGCTGGATTTTCTTCACCTAACTGACCCCAAAATAACATACAGGACTAAGTTGAAAACACAAGTTGATATTAGAATCCTGGTAGTTTCTATTAAGCTATAAAAGGGATTTGTAAAAATGTAAAGCAATGCTACTCTTCTTACTATTTTGTTCTGGAAAATAATTAATAGCAATTTGTCATAAGAAATTTTGTTTATACAACACTTAAAAAATTTTTTTGGAGGGGGGAATGGTCACACCTGGCGATGCTCAGGGGTTATTCCTGTACTCCTGGCGGTACTGGGGGACCATATGAGATGCTGGGGATCAGGTCTGCTGAGTACAAGGCAAAACTCTTACATACTATACTATTGTGCCAGCCCCAAGTTTTAATTTTTAAATACAATTTGTACTTTAAAATATTTACCATAATTCAAAATAGAAAACAAATTTAAAATATGCTAACTATAATCCATATGTTATGTATGATCCATGAACTCACTGACATCCGCAATATATTTTTAGTGTAAAGGGATCCTGTAAGCTAAACTATTTATGTGTTGTTGCTGTTCACAAAACTTTTTGTTGTTTGTTTTTGGACCACACCCGTCAGAACTCAGGGCTTACTCCAGGATCTGCATCCTGGTGGGGCTCAGGGGATAATATGGGGTGCCATGGAATGAACCCAGGTTGGTTATGTGCAAGGCAAACACCCTACCCCACTGTACTATCTCTCCGGTCCAAACTTACTAGATTTTTGTGATTCTTCTTAATATGAATCCCGTGTCATTCCCCACGGCCATCCCCTGTCAGCCCCCAACACACCGGATTTTTCTAAGGAGCCAACTCCCCCCCTCCCCCCCAAGGAAATTTGCCTTCAATTTACAAAAACTTATTTAAATAACTTTAGATTGGCTAGCTGAACAAAGACAAAGTTAAGCTTATAGGTCTCAGTATGTCAAACAATAGTGCTGACCTTCAGACATATACTACATTGCAAAAATTATTGGTGATACAGTTCTACTAGAAAGAATACTTTATGTCCTAGTTGGAATACTGGGTACTCTGATACCATTGACCAACTGGCTGCTGCAAATGGTCTCTACTCTCTTCTTCCCACTCTACCATTCAGACAGGGTGTGCCTGAGGGAGGTGGGACTCCTCGTGGGCTCATACTCTTCACCAGGCAAAGTACTGTACTATGGATGCCTGGAGGCTATAGAAGGAGCCACCACCTTAGATGGGGTGTGTGTGTGTGTGTGTGTGTGTGTGTGTGTGCGCGCGCGCGTGCGCGCGTGCATGCGCAAGCATGCTTGTGTGTTTGCGTGCTGTGGTGAAAGTGGAGGCAGTAGAGGGGGTTAAGGATGTTCAGGCAAAACAAGCAAAATGCAAAACAGCTGCTAGACTCTGATTATAGCTGTGCAAATATAATCGGAACAAAGAGTTGGAAGGTACTGGGCATGTACAACATTGGCTTAGTTCTGAGGTCAGAGTAACAGGATAACAAATAGTTAATAAAGAACAAGAAATCTTTCTGAATCTTAATTTCTTCATTGTAATTATTTAGGCTGATCTAAGAATACAATGAAACAGTCTAACTAAAGGGCTAGCATTGCACTTAGCATAGGCAGACTCTGGATAGACTGCTTCACTGGTAATTATTTCACTGTTTCAGTGTAGTATGGTTGCATTGGCTTTACCGTGAACATCCTATAAACAAAAATGTTTTAAGGATCTAGAGAAATGGTATAGCAGGTAAGTACTTACTTGCCTTGATGCAACTGACCCAGGTTGATTCCCGGTACCCTGAGTCCCAACAGGAATGATTCCTGAGCACAGTTAGGAGTGAACCCCAAGCATTACAGGGATTGGTTCAAAAACAAACGAAAAGAATATTCTAATTGGGTGCTGAAAAGACAGTAAAGCAGGTGGGGTGCTTGCCTTGCATGAGGAAAAACTGAGTTCGATTCCTGGAGAACTCTGTATGGTTCTCCTGAGCATCACCAGGAATGAACCCTGAGCTTTTTTTTTTTTCTGGGTGTGGTCCAAAAACAAAAAAAAACTTAAAAATGAGTAGTATCGCCAAATATACAGAACTAAATCAAGTGTGAAAACAGCATTCCTGTTAATTCCTATATAACATTTACAAATCCTGTCATCTATTGTATAAGTTTTTTTAAATAAGTCGCTGCAAAAGATTACACTAACACACACAATAAATAAAGATTACATTAACACACAAAACTCAAAGGATGTAACTCTTAAGAGTCCCAAATGTGTAACATACTTGTGTATTGTATTTGTGTTTTTTTCTGTTGAGATCCTGTACAATCCTGTACATTATAAATTACTGACTTTTGAATATGCACTCCATGACCTAATACAAATGGTACAGTCTTCCAAGTTCAAAGCCACCAGTTAGTTATTACCTTAATTTACAATAATTACCTTAATATAAAAAATAGAAATTTGAGTATTCGATTCTTTTGATTACTTTTACCTCATTAGAGAGAACTGGGCATTTAAGTTCCCACATTAAATAGTACATTGTGAACTAACAACACCCTACCTCCTAAATTATTCTCCAAATATATATTAAGAAACATATAGAAATACTGAAGATATGTGATTACTCTTGATACTTTCTTTTTCCAAACACTCTTTTGGGGGCCACACATGACAATGCTCTGGGGCTACTACTGGCTCAGTGCTTGGGGGAACACGCAGTGAAGGGGACCAAATCTGGGGCTCCTAGTCTTTCAAACATGTTTTGTTGCTTAGCTCATGAAATGAAAGCTAGAGTATCTTTTGATAAACCTTTATTCGACTGCTAACATCTGTCAGATGACACTGTCTTTGCATTCTGCCTTCCAGCATCTAAACATGGATGGCATGCTCTATGCATAAACCTGACTTCAAAAAAGAACTCTGACTACAATATGATCTGTAACAGAGAACACACTTTTGTTTTGAATATCTTGTTATAGTGACAAGAAGACAGCTTAATTAATTTAACACACAAACAAGACAGTCAATATACAACTTCTAAGCATCTGAGTTATATACTGAGTGTCTTAAGAAAAAAAAAAACAAATGTCTCTGTTGGAAAGCTAGGATCATGTTCTACAATTTGGCACCAGCTTCAGAGTTCTAACTTTTGAAGTTTCAAGAGCTTGAAGTAGGAAAAAGAAGTAAACTAAAAACAAAACCCAAGGAGAAGGGAGCTATGAGTTAATGTAAAGAAGTCAGACGAAGCTAATTGAACCCAATTGTTCGTTGCATGTCTGCTGTTACCAGTTTGTCTTTCTGCCGTTCACCATGGATGAGAAAGCCGCTTCGTCCATTGCCTTCAGGGTGCATGACCTTACAGACCCCCACGCGACTGATCCCGCCTCCTTCCTGTGGGAACCATCCCCCGCTGGAGTCATCTCTGGTCATAACCACAGCCTTGACACGCACAATATAGCTGTCACTAAAACGACAAGAAGAAGAATGGGGCATGATAATGGTCTGTAGTTTTCGGACATGTATCACAATGTGAGACAATCACTACTCTCAACTCATCAAAATGAAATCTATGCTGATAGCAACCTTAAGAGATGGTCCATCTCAACTTTTACGAAGAAAAACAAAACTGAATATAAAAGTTTAGTTTTTAAAGGCATTTGGCAATTAAATGATATTTAAGTTTCTTGAAGACGTGTACAGGCATCTTCAAAATATTTAAGTCTCCTGGAAGATGCATGCAGACAAAACAACCTCAGTGTAAATATTAATCACAAAGGACCTAATCTATAAGTTAGGAAACCGGTTAGTTAGAAAAGACAAATTGATCAAGAAATTAAATTGATTAAGTTTCAAACCTTAAAATTTCATTCACAGTGAATGACGGGGGAGGGGGGTGGTTACCACTTTAAAGTCTATAATCTTTTAGCTTAGCATAAGAATAAAGTTAATCCGCTTCCAAATCAAATTCATCATACAGTCATTTATATCGATGGGAAAGCTCAGATACCCTTAAACATGTACAGACTTCTCTTTATGATTTTATTTTTTTCCAGTCTAAACTGCAATTTTACAATGAATTTTTTTGTGCATTTGCCAAAAATCCTTTCTCCTACAGAGACCAACTTGAGCTTTTTAAAACTTCTTCCTCACCTTTAAGAATTTAAATTTTCAGCAAGGCCAATATATTCTCACTTCCTGTTTTCTGTCCTTGGAGTGAATTCACTGTTCATCCATTCAAACCTATATTCATTTCCATTATATGCCAATTGCAGTGGCAGATTTTAGAGACACAAAATAGCGGAATAGCACAGAACCCCTTAGGCTCTCAGGGAAGATGGGACTCCCAGCTTCAGGGCTCAGAACCTGGCCACCACCACCGGCCACTTGCTCAATCACTTGAGTAGTCCTCCATCTCTGCCCACCTCTGTTTCTGCCCCCACAAACACTCTTCGCTCTATTCCTTTGGATGTGATGGTCCAAAAACTTCCTTATGTCCCCATTCCTTCCCGAGACTAACCTTTTTCAATTGTGGTAAAATATATAGAACATAAAATTTACCATTCCAACTATTTTTGTTTGGAGCCACACGTAGAGGCACTCACAACTTACTTCTGAAGGGATTTCGGGGACTATATGGGGTGCCGGGGATTGAACCTGGGTTGGCTGTGTGCAAGGCGAACACCCAATCCACTGTACTTCTGTTCCAGCCCCATTCCAACAATTTTAAGTGTACAATTCTATGGCCCTGAGCATCTTCATATTGTTCTGCACCTGAGTCTAATACCCCTACTTATTATCTTCCCACACTCTCTATATCTATGTATCTAAATGTGCATATATCTACTATATCTCATCACACATATCTACATCTCCATATCCATTCAATACTAAATGTCCATGCTCCCTTCCCCTCAGTCCTGGTAACTGCCATTCTATTCTGTTTCTGGATTTGACTACTTAGGTATCTCATCCAAATTTCTTTCACTTTCTTATCCTTGAAATGCAAGCGATACGGTTCACCCCTGGCATGCTGCTGGCCTTCTCTCCAATTATCTGAAACTCACAAGTCTGAAGTTGTGCTTCATCACAACTTTCTTCAATCTTCTCTAGACCTCTGGGTACTCCCCCTCTCTTGAAGTGATTAGCAAGAGGGCTCACTGCCTGCCCCCACTGCCCGCCCCCATCCCCTGTCCCTGTCTCCTCGCTGTGATTCCTATCATGATTCATGGTTATTCCACTAGCCTCCCTTTTAATTGCTTTGTTTCCAATTTTTAGCATTCTTCTCCTCCGATGCCCTTGTCTTATATACAGCCTTGCGTACACCTATGACCTCACACTTTTACCAGCATCTGTACAATCTTCATTACCTCAATTTCGAGCCTCCTACTCTCCGACACCACCATCTTCTCAAAATAGTTCTCTCTCTTCAGACTCCATTAACATCATCTTCTGGGGTCAACAATCTCTTCTTCTAACCACCTTGTCCCTTTCCCTGTACCTCTCACGCCCTCACCTGACTTCTACCAAACTACAATTCCATGGTGAACACTCTTGCACAAAACGTGCCCTCTTTTTCCGCACGTAACTGCTTGGTGGCAAAACTCAGACCTCAGTTAAATGTCACCATTTATTTAACCCCTGGTCCCCAGTCAGCTGTTGAACGTGGCTAAGGGAAACACCCACCAATTCCCACCCACTGGCTCTTCTCTACTTACAGATCTTGTTTAACCATCATAATTAATCCCAAGTGTATGCCACCAGCATTCCAATACGTGTCCTCCTAATCCCTCCCTCTCAGATGGATGACACATGAGCTTCTTTCACTCTTACTGAGAAAATAGACAAAATCAGAAAAGACCTGGGTTGGCCGTGTACAAGGCAAGCACCCAATCTGATGGTCCAGAAACTTCCTTATTGTCCCCATTCCTTCCTGAGACTAACCTTTTTTAATTGTGGTAAAATATAAAAAACATAAAATTACCCAAACTGTCAGCATGCTCAAGACTCTATACCAACCCTCTCTGCCAGTTAACTGTGACTAAACCATCCAGTATCCAAGTCAGGGCCAACAACTCCATCTTTATCCCTTAAGTTTACTTTCCCACTCAGACCTCTATTGGGGTGTCTAATTCCAACCAAGGCATCTCCATTGACACTTGTAGACTGAAGTGTTTGATTCTAAGTAGCTTTAGATTCTCCCTTCAAAAATACATCCATATTTTTGCCATCTCTTGACACTACTTTCACTCCAGCCTCCAATATCTCTGAGATTATTACAATAGCCTTAAAATTGGCCTTATTTCAAAGTGTGTCCAACATTCTGAGAAAACAGGTAAGTCAGATTATAATACCCAATCAAATGCTCCCAACAGTTTTAAATGTGAATCTGAGTAAAAGTCAGAATCTTCCCATTCCTGTTAGCCCTTTACCATAAGCGCAGTCCTTCCTTGGGTATATGCACTTGCCATTTCTTTCCCTGAAAAATCCATTTCCCTACGGGATCAGCTTATTCCCTCATTTTGTTATACCTTTGGCGTGTCTTCCAAACAGTGCCAGGAAGAACTGGGGGCTACTTCTATTAATTTTTTTTTTTTGCTTTTTGGGTCACACCTGGCGATGCCCAGGGGTTACTCCTGGCTCATACACTCAGGAATCACTCCAGGCGGTGCTCGGGGGACCATATGGGATGCTGGAAATTGAACCTGTGTTGGCCATGTTGGCTTCGTGCAAGGCAAATGCCCTACCCGCTGTGCCATCGCTCCAGCCCCTGGGGGCTACTTCTAGCAATTTTTGGCCCACAGGACCCTTGGTTCAATGTTTGGCACAAAGAAATGGTGCTGAAGATTACCTGAGCCTCCCAGGTAAGGGGCCTCAGGACCCTGTGTATACTCCGGGGGCCTCTAGGACTGAATCTGGAGACACTCAATGTTCATTGCTTAGGGGCCATGTGGTGCCAGGAACTGAACTACAGTTGGTCACCGTCCCAACCCCTCCACCCTAAGAACCAACATTTTTTTTTCTATGAAATAAATACCAACCAGTTTGAAAGGTGGGGGGAAGATCTATTGAGTAAAGTGGGGACAAACTTTTTTGTTTAGTATCAAATGACTCTGATGCAACCATGGAATCCCTGGACTACCTCTCTTGTGGCCCTGTCCCCTGTGCCAATTTAAATCTTCTCAGTGCTTTGTCTCTCTACAAGCTACCACATCAACATCTGCCCTCCTGACATGTCTGTCTGCCCACCTTTCCCAACTAGAAGGCTGAGAGCAGGGATTTTGCCCTTTATCTTCACTGTTACATTCCCAGGATCTAGAAGTGGGCACTAAAACAAAAGCTTTACATATTTATATAAAAGGTCCATGAAAGTTTTATTTGTAGCAAACAGAATCTCTACGAATATAAAAATCATTTGTTTATGAGCTACGTAGCTGAACTGGGGTGGTATAAAGATTTATTAGTGGGAAACTGACTTTAACACACACACACACACACACACACACACACACACAAGGTTTTCATCACAAATTCATTTATCTCAGGATTTCAGGATTCAGCATACATATTCCTTCCTTGAGATCCCAGAGATGAATTAAGAATATTTTATAACATTTATTACCTACAAACTGAGAATATCCTCTCCCCACAAAGAACATTATATTTATTCTAGGAAAAACTATGAGGGTTCTTAGCTAACAGAAATCTTCAGCAAGTGTATTAGGGAATCATCCCAACAGGAAATGGCCAAGGTGAAGACTTGAAACTCAACAACACACTTCTCGTTCAAACATGCTTTGAGTGTGTGTGTGTGTGTGTGTGTGTGTGTGTGTGTGTGTGTGGTGTGAGCGGGTGTGCCTGCATACGCTGCAGCTGTGTGCAGTTCTGCAGTCCGCTGAGGGATTAAGTAAACATGAAAAAGGGAAGTTTGCATTGCTTATGTGAGTGCCATAAACTTCTTTCCAAAAAGTCTTCATTTATTAGAGATTGCAAAAATTAAAAACAAAAACAAAAACAACAAAACCCCACCCCTCAGCTTCCAGACTCTAGGGGTGATTAACTTTGGCTTTTGCTTGTGATCTTTACAGCATATCCTTCCTGCCCTGAGTCCTGTGATGGCCCTTCCTGAGGGCACAGACGTCTCTATGGTGGGCTGTGTGCCTGTACTGTGCAGGGAGGAGGGACACAGTGCAAAGGCCTCTCGTCTCCTCTGGCAACAACCCCAACAGCGAGCATTAACAGAGGCATCTGGCTATTTAAAACAAGGCAGGGGAGAAATGCCGCACTGAAAGCTGTGAAGGATGTCTAGATAATCCAGCTGCATGGCTGCAGGCCAACTGCTTCCTATCTGTGGTGTATTTATTCTAGTTGGCCCCATCCCCACCCAGAGCAGAAACCACAACGAAGCTCTCCTTCCAGAAAGGTAGAAAGGAGGAACATTTCCTTCCCACCTTCCCTCCGTCTCTT